TATATTTATTGTATATATATATTTATTATATATGTATATTAAGAGAAAAATTGTGGACTGATGAAAACGATAGAGTACAGTTTTAAAGTACAGCCAAATATTATATACATAAATACTATATATATAATATCAGATTTGCATAGATATTTATTTCAATTTTACTAATACGAATCTTTATCTTATTTTCAGATGTCACGTGGACAATCGAACGCCATAAAATGGTCAAAGGCCTAAACGGACCTTGCGAGAGAGGTTTAAGATCCTAGAGGAGCACCAAAACTATACTTTTCCACGGAAACCTACGTCTGCTCATCCATCAGTGCACCTAAGAACGGCACAGATGCCTCGCGCGTACCATGGTCATGAATAAATGATCCAGCGATGCCGAAATAGTCGAAACGTTCCTGAAAATAATTTGCCAGGCAAACAGTATGATTTACGGTACCCAGGTCTTTTTTTTCACCACTAATTTCACGTCACGAAATTTCCCCTATTTTTCGCCGCTTTTTCTCCTTCCTCTTCCTTTCTTCTTCTAGCCTGTTTTCACGATGTCGCTTGCATGGAAACTTGCGAAACAGCTGCCGAGTTGCCGTAATCCTGATCGAATGGACACGATGTACAGTGGTTTTGCTTTGTTCACGCAATGGCCACGCGGAACAACTGTTTCTTCTTGGAGAGCATGCTTTCGAAAACCTGTTTTTTGGGTCCTACTTATGGTTGGGTTTCGATATTATTGTGTACAACTTTCCGTGGACGACATTTTATTTTTCTTTGTAGATTTTTTTAATAGTTTCTTTGATTTCTATTTTTTTGGGGGAAACTACATCTTTTTGAATTTTTATTATATTATAATTTTTATATTTGAGTATTTAATTTTTGTATCAATATTTTTTGTGGTTGGAATTAATTGAAATAATGTAGTGAATTGGTAAATTTTTATTATAGATTATTTATTATTATTATTATTTATTTATTTATTATTATAATAAATTATTTTTATTACGAATTACGAATAATTTTATTCGTATATTTATGGTAATTTATGGAATATATTTATTTGTATATTATTTTAAGTAATTCCATTTTCCATTTAGTTTCTAATTTCTGTATTATTATATACATCTTTTTGAATTTTTATTATATTATAATTTTTATATTTGAGTATTAATATTTTTATATCAAAAATTTTTATATTAATATTTGATGTGGTTGGAATTAATTGAAATAATGTGGCGAATTAAATAATTAAATAATTTGCAGATTATTTTTATTACGAATTACGAATAATTTTATTCCTATATTTATGG